ATAACATTCTGCTTCCATGTATATCTGCACACCAGAAGAGGGCACCAGATCTCATAACGGATGGTTGTGAGCCACCATGTGGTTGCTGGGAATTGAACTCAGGACCTCTGGAAGAGCAGTCGGTGCTCTTAACCTCTGAGCCATCTGTCCAGCCCCATGAATATCATCTTTTTTCTTATGGGATTAAATCTGTTTAGTCTGTAAATGTCAACTAGGAAGACTTTCTATACAGGAATACCCAAATCTAAAACACAATGACGTGTGACATCTTCTAGACACTTCATACCTGTATCTACTTCATTCAATTTCCTCCATAACCAGTGGTGGCAGAAGTTTACTATTAACCTCATAAAGAAGCTGCTTCAGGTAATCTGTGCTCTTAATTACTACTCTATAGTTCATTTCTCAGATTACAGGGTTGGTACAGATAGCAGTATCCCCCTTATCCATGGGATAGGGTTAGATTTCAAGCCCCCTCCACACTGTGTATGTCTAAAACAACAGTCAGTAACAAAATGGATAAATACTTTGTATAATACACATTTATGACAGTTTACTTTCTACATTAGATAACAGTGAAAGATATCAGTAACAGAAGACTAGACTTATGCGAATGTGGTCTCTTCCTTTCAAAGAGTCTTGCGCTGTATTCACCTTTTCCCTTCATGTGATGATGTGACAATCCATGTGATGAAATGTGGTGCCTGACTGAGAACTTAGGAAATGTGGACATATGATCCAAGTGTGAAGTGCAGCAGCAATAGCGAAGCAAGCACTTCTCCTTACAATATCATGAATGGAATATTCATTCTTACTGTCTGTAATCGAACCATTCTCAGCAAAAGAGGAAAACTTTCTTCTCCTCACAGGAGGCATATTCTAACTGCCAGTGCCATCACTCTTGCACTTCAGAGTCATTTAGTAAAATAAATGTTACTATGCACCATGATCCCATGGCAGTTGAGCTGGTGCTGAGATACTACTCAGTGGGTAGCCCATATAGCATGGATGCACTGGACAAAGATGATTTCCAACTGTGCGACAGCACGAGATTTGTCTCAATATTCAGAATGGTGATCAATCTAAAATGTATGAATTGCTTAGTTCTGGTCCCTTCCAGGTAACACTTTTAGACCTCGGTTGAATGAAGGGAACTGAAGCTGTCAAATAGCAATCCTTGGATAAAGAGTACCCACTGTCCCCTTACAATACTAGAGAATATGCACACACAGGCAAAGCCTTTAATATTCATTAGTCTATTTCTGGAAAAAGAAATTTTCTTCAAGAAAGGGTCATGAACCAGGCAGTGGTGGCGCACACCTTTAATCCCAGTGCTTGGGAGGCAGAGGCAGGCGGATCGCTGTAAGTTTGAGGCCAGACTGGTCTACAGAGTGAGTTCCAGGACAGCCAAGGCTGCACAGAGAAACCCTGTCTCAAAAAAAAAAAAAAAAAAAAAAGTCTTGATATGTTATCCACCATGGTCTTCAATACACAATCTTCTTGCTGCTTGCTGCAACCTCCCAAGTGCTATGACTACAGGTGTTCATTATTATACCTGGCTAAGGCCAGTATTTTTGAAGGATAAAAAAAACTGTCAACATATTAAGAATGGTATGTTCTAGAAATTTATTCTAGAAAACAAGTTCTTAAAAACTACCATAAAATTGGCCAAGCATGGTGCCATATACCAATAATCCCACGGCTTGGGAGGCAGATCTCTGTGAGTTTGTGGCCAGCCTGGTCTATATGGTGAGTTCTAGGACAACCAGAGCTATATAACTGACAGACTTGTCTCAAAAACACAAAAATCAATGAACCAACCAAAGGAACAACAACAACAAAAAACTACTGCAAAATCAAAAACATGTTCCTTACTTGTACATGCTGAGTAGGCATGGAATAATCCTTATACAGAATAATATTAAAAAATGTAAAAAATCAAAATTAGAACAGAACCACTTATTTAGTGTGTGTGCTTGTGTCAGAGGACAACTTGTAGGAGCTGGTTCTCTCCTTCCACCACATGGGTTCCAAGGACTGAATTCAAATCCTCATGCCTGGCTGTTCCACAGATAGAATTCAGAATTCAGATTGTCAGACTTGGCTCAAGCACCTTGATTTGCTGAGCCACTTGGGCAGCCCCCAAATAATATATTTTAGTGAAATATATATCTGTATATATATTATATGTAACACGTTAACTATACATTGCTAAATTATTATTCTATTCATAAATAAATATTAATTATTGTGAGTGTCCTTTTTTTTTTGCATTGCTGAGTCTTCAAACATCTAGGACTTCATGAATGCTAGGCAAGTACTCTTTCACTGAGCTGTATCTCTAGTCCTTAAAAAAATTTGAGAAATGTTCTTGCTAGGTTGCCCAGCTGTCTACACTGGCCTTGAACTCATTATTTGGTTTAGATAGACCTTGAACCTGTAATCTTTCTCCTTCACCCTCCTAAACAGCTGGGATTACACAGGCCTGGGCCACCAGACCCAGCCGGCAGTGGTTTTTTTTTTTTTTTTCAAGACAGGGTTTCTCTGTGTAACAGTCCTTGCTGTCCTGGAACTCATCCTGTAGACCAGATTGACCTTGAACTCGACAGAGATCCTCCTGCCTCTGCCTCCCAAGTGCTGGGGCTAAAGGTGTGCACCACCACTACCCAGCTGGCAGTACTTTTTAAAACAATGTTTAACAGTGTACACTAAGAAAGAATTGAGACTTGGGTGGGAACCTTACCTTAACAATAGTTTGATAAACAAAAGGAAGAATCTGTTTTGACCACTGTTTTTCCAGATGAACTTCCCCATTCTGATTGACTTGATATTTACGACCTGTGAGCAACTGGGCATACACAACAGCAGATGTTTCATTTATTATTATTCCCTTTCTCCTTAGGTATCTAAAGGAACAGGAAAAGAGATAAACATGTGGAGGTCTGTATGCAGTCCAGGTGATAATCATCAATCAAACACCTCCATACACTGCAAGTAAATACACAGGAGTTCTCAGCACCCTGAAAATAGTGGTTCTCAACCTTCCTAATGCCGTGATCTTTAATGCAGGGACTCATGTTGTGCTGACCCCCAACCATACAATTATTTTCGTTGCTACTTCATAACTGTAATTTTGTTGTGAGCCTAGCCTTTAACGGCTGAGCCATCTCTCCAGCCCTGTAACTATAATTTAAACATCTGTGTTTTCTGATGGTTTTAGATGACCCCTGTGAAAGGGTTGTTTGACCCCCCCAAAGGGGTCTCAAGCCACAGGTTGAGAATTATAGGGAGAAAGCATGATTAGAAGTACGGCTGACTATGCCAGCTTGGACATGGCCACAGGTAATGCTAACCATTCCTGCTTGGGGCTGGACACAGGTGTCACTGACCACGCCTACTTGGGTGTGGTCAGAGTGATGTGGGAAAGGTTTAAAGAATTTAGGGGCACAAACGCACTTCCCTTCTTCCCTACTCTTTGTCGCCTGGCTAGGTGGATCTGTGAGTACTATTTCTTAATAAAATATCATAAAATATCTGTTATCTATCTGACTCCATTTTATCCCCCAATAGAGAATCACTGCCATAAACTTTTGCCAGTATTGATGTTAGACTGTGGATCATTTCTCCACTGATTATGTGCCTGAATGAAAAAAATCAATCTATAAAAACTCTAGAACTTCACATTCAAGGAAGGTTTCTCTCTCTCTCTCTCTCTTTCTCTCTCTCTCTCTCTCTCTCTCTAAATGTAATAAAAATTTTAAATTTAAGGAGAAGTGAAAAAAGGCATCATGGAACTCACTAGGAGTATTTTAAGTATGTTACTCATTTCAAAGGCTCACTTGTTACATTTATATGTCATATAAACTTTTCATAAATAAATAATTACCTTTTCCTTGTTGATTCTTCTGGCTTCCAATTTAAATTTGTATACCTTTTAACACTCCAATCTTTCTCTTTAAATGACTTTAGGGATTGAACTCGAGCTCTGGACAAACTGAGCTACAATCCCCAGTGCCCTGCACTCTTTGCATCTGCATTTCCTTGTCTCATATCTGACACTGTGCTAAGAAGAGTGAATCAAACTCATAGTCCTCTTGCCTCAGTTTCCCAAGTGTGGTAATTAAAGTTGTGTACCATCATGCTCAACTAAGACATTTTAAAAAATGTATTTATTTAATGCGTGTGGGTGTTTTGTCTGCATGTTTATCTGTGTACCATATGTGTGCCTGATGCCCTGGAGACTGGAAGAAGAGGGCACTGATGCTATGGGATTGGAGTTAAAGAATAAGTAAATCACTACATGGGATCCTAACTCCGGGTAAAAGAAGCCAGTGTTCTTAACCTCTAAGCCATTTATCCAGCCCTTAACCAAATTCTCTATGACACTCACTGTTCTGAAATTCCTTGTATTTCTTTAGTCCAGTTCGACTGTTCTTTATCTGCAAGTTGGATGACTTTAGATGGTGGAGCAGTTTTCCCCAAATAAACTTTCTGTGTTCCTGGAGGTTCTTCCAAGTAAAACCTTAGCAATAAAAACAAAGTAGAAATTATGTAAGCCCAAATTTGTGCTTTCATGTAGAGCTTTTGCAGGTTACAACTGTAAAAACAAAAACCCCCAAACCCAAACCTCTTTTGAATACAATAATTTAACTGGAGAATAAAGATGGGTAGGGATTTCCTACGTTGGGCACGCTGGTCTATCTCTGGATGCCCAGTTACTTGAGGAACTGAGGGAAGAGGATGTTTTGAGCATGAATTTGAGACCAGCTCACACCACACAGCAAGACCCTGTCTCACCTTAAGAAAAGATAAACTATTGGGACATAAACATGACAAGATGATAAATCATTAGTGTAATGAAAAGATAAAACACTAATAAAAGCAGGCAAAAATTTAAATAACAGAGAGGTACACAGTGTTCATGGGTTAGACAACCCACTATAGTAAAAGTATCAAACCTCCCCACATTCATCTATAGGTGCAAAATTTTTCTTTTACTTAAGTTTTTCTTCCTTTCCTCTTCCCCTTTCTCCCCCTCCCCCAATGTCACTTTCAAGACATGGGCTGGCTATGTAGTACAGGCTATCCTTTAAACTCTACATAGCTTGGGGTAGTCTTAAGTTTGAAGAGATCTTCATGCCTCAATCCAGAGTGCTGAAATCATGAGTGTGAACAATTATATCATTTAGGTTTAATAAAATTTGTATAAAAATTCCTTCAATATTAATAGGTACAGAACAATCTATCTTAAAACTGCAACAAATTAGAATAGCTAAAACCATTTTTAAAGAAAAGTCATAGCCTGGCAGTGATGGTGCATACATTAATCCCAGCACTCAGGAGGCAGAGGCAGGTGGTTCTCTGTGAGTTCAAGGCCAGCCTGGTCTGCAGAGTGAGTTCCAGGACAGCCAGGGCTACACAGAGAAACCCTATCTTGAAAAAACAAAAAGAAAAAGAAAAAGAAAAAGAAAAAAGACAAGTCAAATGTGCCACTTTGATGTTCAGGCTTGGCATAAAGTTATAATCAAGAAATGGGCACAGGGGCTGAAGAGATGAATCAGCAGTTAAGAACACACTCTGCTCTTCCAGAGGACCTGGGTTCAATTCCAGGAACCAACATGGTACTTCACATCTGTCTGTAATCTAGTTCAAGGGCTTTTGAGACCCTCACACAGATATACATTTAGGCAAAACAATGGACATAAAATAAAAATAAATTTAAAAGAAAGAAATGGGCATAAAAAAGTCCATAAGCATGAATAGACTAGAGAGCCAGAAAAACCCCATACTAATACACTCAGGTTTAAAAAAAATGTTTGTTATTGTTATGCCAGGGCTTTATTCCTAGCAGTGCATAGCAGATAAAAGCTGAAAAGCACAAGCCATTGATGAAGACTCTCAGGTTGGAACTAATTTTTTTTCTTAACTTTTTAAGATTTGTTTATTTTTATATATTTTATTTTATATTTTAATATATATTTTATATAAAGTGAGAAAGCCTGCATGTATGTATGTATGTGCCTTCAGTGCATGCCTTGTGTATGAAGGCACATACAAGGCTTTGGATCCCCTGAACCTGGAGTTACAGATGGTTGTGAGATGTGCTGGTGCAGGGACCCAAACCCAGGTCCTCTGCAAGAGTGAAAGTGCTCTGAACTGCCGAGCCGTCTCTCCAGCCTCTGTAACTACCTTTGACAAAAGCAATCCAACAAAGAAAAGATAATCTTTAACAAATGATGTTGTAGCAACTGAATGATTCATAGGCAAATTATATTAAGCAATCTACATCTGTAAAATTATGTAAAAATCATTTAAAATGGATCATGGCTTAATGTAAAAGATGGTAAAACTACAAAATATTTCAAAGAAAATATTAGCAATCTGGACTACATACCAAAGGGAGAACTAAATTTTACTCTTCCAACAAGGAATCCTCAAGATTTCTCACAGAAATGCCAGCAACTACAATTTCAATACAATTACAGTAATCAATAACATTTATGGAAAATACAAGTGGGAGATGTGTGCAGGGTTAAGGGAAAAGGAGAACAGACAAAGACTGATTTTCTAAAATCATAATCCAATGTATGTTTAAAAACAAAAGGATATTTTTTGACATGTAATAACTCAGATAATACAATTTTGACCCATGAACAAAACTTAGTTTTAGCTACATGCAAGTGAAAAAAAAGAGGAAAAGCATTATATGAAATAAAAGTTTAAAATTATTAAGAAAGACCTGCCTAATTATTCAGTGACTAAAAGGGTATGAGCTTAATTAAAAGGGCAAAAAGTTAATTGTAGGGGACAGTGTAAGCCGGCTAGCTCAGTCGGTAGAGCATGAGACTCATAATCTCAGGGTCATGGGTTCATGCCCCATGTTGGGCACAGATATTGAGAAATAAAAGGAGCTTACTATAAGGATATCCTTTATTAGAAAAATACCAGCCAAACGCAAGCCAGAGTGTGCCAGGGGCAGCAAGGCAGGGAGGCCAGAGCGAAGGGGCTTCCATGTGCCTTGCAGCCCCTTAAAACCCTATCATGCGTCATCCTGACCTTACCTTAACCATGCCCTGACAGGTGTGGTTGGGCACACCTGTAGCCAGCTTCTAGCAGGTGTGGCTTACACTGTCCCCTACAGTTAATCTTAAAAATATAAGACAGGGAGAGCTGGAAAGATGGCTCAATTTCCAGCACCCACATGACAACTAGCAACCATTTATAACTTCAGTCCAATACCCACTTCTAGTCTCTGCAGGCAACACTCATACACACAATACACAGACATATATGCAGGCAAAACACCTGTGTGCATACATAAAATAAATGACCCCCCCCAATAAAAGGACAAGCATAGATATAGTGGCTTACTCACATATCCTCCACTCTCAGGGGTAGAGTCAAGAAGATGTGTGCGAGTCTGAGGTAAGCCTTGTTAATAAAGTACGTTCCAGACAAGCCAGGGCCACACAGTAACATCCTGTCTTATTTATTTGTTTTAAAAATTACTGTATTATCTACTTTAGAAGGTAGAAGCAATTACTGCACACACCTGACAATCCCCAGAATTTATGGTAGAAGGAGAGAATAGACTTCTTTTTTCTAACCTTATTAAAAATGGTTTAATAAAAAAAGGTAATTACTAAATAAATGTTAAGACTTTAAATACTAACTCAAGGGAAATCCAAATTCAATAAGACTCTTGCTCTAACAATACCAGTTTTCACCAGCCAGGCGTTGGTGGCGCACACCTTTAATACCAGCACTTGAGAGGCAGAGGCAGAGGCAGGTGGATCTCTGAGTTTAAGGTCAGCCTGGTCTACAGAGTGAGTGCCAGGACAGGATCCAAAACAATACAGAGAAACCCTGTCTTGAACGCCACCCCCCCCCCCGAAAAAAAAAAAAAAAAAAAAAAAAAAAAAAAAAAAAAAAAAGAAACAAAAATTTTCTAAAAACTAACCAACAAAAAGTATCTAGTGTTTTTCTTATGAAGATTACTAATAAAATATAGAATTGGTGTGCACATTTTAACATGCTGCTCTTTTACAGGTAAAGGAGACATAACTATATCTAACATCACAGGATCCAATGTGTTTGACATGTCGTACCTAGGTCTTCCCTGGTTTATTAAGACTGTATTTATGAATGCATCTGTTCCTGTAGAAGTGAATAGCAAGGAATTCATTTACATAACCATCTCTTTCTCAGCATTTCAATTATTTTTCTGGAGAACAGACTTCTAAACATTGTCCTCTGACTTCTACTGCATGTCCACACTCACACTCATCCATCACATACATACACACAAAAAAAACACACATACACACAAAAAAAACCAAAACCAAAAACAAAACAAAACCTAAACCAGTGTATTATTGAAATATCTGGGAAGAATATGAAAAAGTTAAGGTTATGTATGTTGTTAATTCTTATCAGAAAGAAAAATATATTTGTTAAATAATACAATGGTTATCACTCAGAAAAGAATTGGGTGATAAAACTTCCAAGCTATTAAGAATAAAAGGAACTAACACAATATAATGTATCTACAATATCCCCAGGGGTGTATATAATAAACTGTCAACAGTGGTTGACTTTCAAGTGGTGTGAGAATAGTTTTGCACTAGAGTGTAAATGTTCTTACAAGAATTTTATCACTCAAAAATAAATGTAAGTTATCAAATAGCAAAGCAAATATGTTAGAGAAAGCATAAACAATATCTTACTTAGTTTCACCATCTGATACTGCCACAACTCTAGCTTCTTCCAGATGGGGCCAGTTAACAAAGACCGACTTTCCAAGGACTGATGATGCTATGTTTTCTATACTCTTAAAAGCAAAAACAGAAAATTTTATTCACAGTTTAGATCCAAGAGAACAATTTTCAGAGGAAAATCCTCCAATTGCATTTCAGTTTTAATTTGCAAAGTGAATGAGGTGGAGCAGTGGGTTACAAACTTCCCTCCACCATGTTCTGGTTTTACTCTAGATGCATCTTTATCTTTCTTACCACTTTAATAACAAAGAAAACTGAAAAGAACAGTGGTGTTCTCTCCTTAAGTTTCATTTTCTCCGAAAGAAAATCTCATAAAGAAAAGAAGTACTTCATTTCACTTGTGGCATGTTAGCAAGAAAGAATATTACATTTAAAGCCAAGGGACACAGTTCCAAATTTTCATTTTACCCCTTTTAGAATCTGACCAAATTATGTTTTCCTTTATGAAGAAAGAGGATAATGTCTTCCTTCCAATGTTGAGGATAAAGTAAAATAATAGACTGTTCTTCACAAGGGAGTATTTTAAGTAAAAAGAATCCTAGCTTTAAAAGAAGATTTTTTCAACTTACATATTTAGGTTAGATAACAACTTTGTAGTAGAAACTGATATATAAATATAAATCTTATTTATCTTTTGAATTATATTCAACCATTTTTTTGTTTGATGTTTGTTTTGAGATAAGAAAGGTCTCATGTAGCCTAGGCTGGCCTGAAACTTGCTATGTAGCCAAGGATTACCTTGAACTTCCTGCTTCCACTTACCAAGTGTTGGGCTACAAATGTGCCCCTGTAACAATGCCCAGTTTAACATGGTTCTGGGGATCTAACCTGGGCTTTGTGCACACTAGACAGGCACTCTAATACTAGAGCTACATTCCCAGTTGAGCTGGTGGATGGCTTGCTTAGCATTCACAGAGCCCTGAGTTCAATCTCCAGAACTTCCTAACAGTGTGTAGTGGTATATGCCCTCTGTCCTACCACTTGGGAAACAGAGGCAAGAGGATCAGGAATTCAAGGTTGCCTTTACTTACTTAGGGAATCTTGAGACCAGGCTGAGATACATTAGAATCCGCCTCAGAAAATGTATACATATATAAATTTTGAGCAATAAGAGATGACTATTTTTTTAGGCTTTTCTGGGGGAATATTACTCTGGTAATCAGACTTTTCTTAAAGTGAACATAAAAAACTACAGAAAAACAATTCTTGCTGGGCAGTGGTGGCACATGCCTTTAGTCCCAGCACTTGGGAGGCAGAGGCAGATGGATCTCTGTGAATTTGAGGTCAGCCTGGTCTACAGATGAGTTCCAGGACTAGATCCATAGCTACTGAGAAACTCTGTCTCAATAAATAAATAAATAAATAAATAAACAAACAAATAAATAAATAAATGCAAATTTCAACATTAGAACTGGGCTCATTAATTATTCTTTCTGAATATTTGTTTATATTCATTATTCTCAACCCCACGTTCAGTTGTTTTGGAAACAAACAAACAAACAAACAAAACCCTTCCTTTACCAGATTCTTTCTGAAGCTTTAGCTGAAATCCACTATTATGTCATGTGCAGTCTTGCTATTATATACAACCTTTTCTATTACAAAGCCTGACAACTGTTGTGTCCAAGTCACAAGGATCCCCAAAGAGACCAGGGAGATGGACCACTGATGCAAATGCATAGGTCTATTGATTGTTCTATTCTACTGAGGGAGGGACCCTGTCTAGCAAGCTGATGCAGCAGCCTCCAGAGGGGGTGAAGTTCCCTGTCTACTGCTAGGTTTTAAAGTCAAAAGTTATAAGATTACATCAGTAGGTATGGATTGATTTCTGATTGGTTGACATTTGGGAACAATCAAGAAATTTTTCAAAGTCATGTTTTTGGTATGTAATACCTGTGTACCCATTTTTCTTATAGGTTAGTGCTGGGAGGGGACATTCTGTGTTTTCTATGGCTTGCAGGTGGCCTATTGTGCCAATATTTTTCAGAATTGAATTTCCTGGAGACTACAGGGGAGTTTCTTTTGCAGTCAAACAGTCCCCAGGATCTAAGTGTCTAGGAGACTAGGAGGGTTTGGAGTTCCTTTGTGTTTGGCCCTAGGCTCCAGGAGGCCAGAGGATCTGGAGTTTCCTTGTGTCAGAGACCTACATGTCTTTTCTGTAGTCTGTCATGGCTGCCAAAGCAGGGGTTGAGTAAGGGTTTGGTCTGGTCCTTTCATTTCTAGAAGAGAAGCCTTTTAGTTTAGTTTACCCCTTTGTTTCAGTTTTTACTTTCCTTCCAAGTTTTGCAACATAAAATTTTTGCTTCAAGTCTTTGTGCTACCACTTAAATATCACAAGTTGTGACACTAACTTGGGAATCATTCTTTTTTACTTCTGAGTCCTCAATGTCACTTTAATGGCTCCTTTCGTGGCCTTTATAATGGTGGATATTTCTTGTTTTCCTTTTATTTTTCAAAAAAAGATTTATTTATGTGTATGAGTGATTTTTTTTACATGTATGTATGTATGTATGTATGTATGTATGTATGTATGTATGTACATCACAAGCATTCCTGGTACCAACAGAAGCTAGAAGATGACATTAGATACCCTGGTATTGGACTGTTGTGGAAGCTGGGAAGCAAATCCAGGTCTTTCTGTCAAGAGTGACCTTTTAATTTATCTCTCTAGCCCTAATTGTGGAAATCTCCTTAATATTGAGACCATGACCATCCAGTGTAACTTTGTTTAGGGAAATAAATCTCAAGACCTCAGCCATCAGTTCTTGCTGGGAACTTACAGTAACAATATCCGTCTCCAACCTTTAGCTTGAGGAATTTAACTGTATACCAGCAGCATCCCCCTCATCCCCCCCCCCCCCCCCCCCCCCCCCCCTGGAGCCCGGCCGCCCCGCAACCCCCCAAACACCCACCCCTCCCCCCCGCTCTGTTCAGTGTTAGGATTAAAGGCATGTGCCACCAATGCTCAGCTTACCAGCAGCTTTTTAAATGGAGATTTTTTACTTGAACCACAGTACATAAAGTAATAACTATTTTCTCAGTTTTTCTAAGACAGTACAATACTTGTATATCCTAAATGCACAGTAGGTTTACTGTATACAATACAAATTGTTATTTAAAATGAACCGTTGAGGGTATTAGAGTTTCTATCTTTGTGAAACACTAGCTAAGACAGGTTACCGGGATAGCTTTAGTTAAATATTTTAGTAACATAACAACCACCTTAAGATTTCATCATGGTTAATCTCCCAAATCAACAACTTTCCTATTTTAACTTTTCTTGTCCATCAAAGTACTATTAACTAGTCCATTAGCCTGGACAGCTCAGTTAGTTACTATTTCCTTAAAGATCTATTGCCACTTTGTTCATATCCTTATCATTTAAGACTACAAACTCTGAACTTGGTTTTACTGTTTTTTTCTTTTTCAATTTGGTTTAGAATATTGCTGATGGATTAATTCTTATGAAGACACCAATTTCAAAATAACAGTCATAGGAAGGAAAAATCCAAACTCCTTAGCCTGGTATTCAAGATCCCCCATAATCTGCCTCAGTTTATCTTCTAGCCTGATCTGTCATTACTCACAAGTCCTCTGCTTCAGTCAATTTTATCTATTCCTTCCCCTCAAATATATCACAATTGTTCAGAGAGAAAAAAGCATTAAGAAATATTTCAAACACAAAGGTTAAAAAAAAAGTAAGACAATGCATCCCAACTACTTATTTTGAAGTTGATGGAGAGTGCCTTTCTTTTCCTGTCCTAATGTCTCTCAGCACCTAGCTCAAGCCTCTGTTCATCTACATGTGCCCCCAGTCACTGGCCAGCAGTGCTAGTTATACAGGCTCTTAGTGCCACCTAATTCGTGTTTCTGTGCTTCATCTTTAAAGCTGAATCTGAGTTATGGTACATTAAATTTCTTTGTTAAATACCTTAGCAGGTGTAAGTAGTTTTATGCATCACAAATATTCCGTAAATGAACAAACAAACAAATAAAGTACTTACAAGTTCATCTGGTTCTGTGTTCACTGAGATTTCCAACATCATGTTCTCACCACGACTACTCTGCTGGAATACTTGAACACCACTTTTCTTCAAAAAAAACTTTAAAAGAATTCAAAGAACTTGGTTTAATTCTTTATGATCACTTCACTTTTAATAAAGTGAAAAAAATCTGAATTAAATAGCCACTGACTTTATGTTTGATGTGTTTCAAAGTAGGGAATCCACAGAAATATAATGCCTTCTGGTCAACCTTGGTTATTCTGTTCTTGTTTATGTCTACACGCCAAGCATCTAATGATATTATTTTGTACCTAGAAAATAAAACAAGGTATTTAATTTAAAATTCAAACATTATAAGTAATTACAACTTTCAGCTTTCTTCTGACTATTTCACAAGAATCATTGTTGCTTTAGAAAGGGGGGATGTGTATTGTGGCATATGTCTGTAATTATAGCACTTGAGAAGCAAAGGCAGGAGAATCCAAGTTCAAGGCCATCCTCAATTACATAATGACTTCTAAGGCAGCATAAGCAAGATAGTGAGACCTAGACAGACAGACAGACAGACAGACAGACAGACAGACACACACACACACAGACAGACAGACAGACAGACAGGAACTATTTCTTGAAAGAAATCCAGGCATAGTGGTTTATACGTATAATCCCAAACTAGGGAGGTTGAGGCAGAAGACTGCTCTGAGCTCAAAGCTATTCTCGGCTATGTAATGAAATTCTGCCTCACAGGAAAAACAAAACAAAACAAAACAAAACAAAACAAAACAAAAAAACTGTGGTGATTCCCCTGTAGGCTTTACAGCAGGCAAGGAAAATTGGTCCTCAAAGACAAGAATGAAACTCGGCCAGACTGATTTTATTGTAACCGGGGCTGGAACAGATAATTTTACTTTAATTCTATTTAAGCACAGAACAATTTGGAAAAGAGCATTTGGGTAACAATTAACTCAGCCCCAAGTACACAAAAATTTAAGACCTGCCTACACTGGGATTCTTTATAAAGTATATCTGGATTCTTTCACAAGCATGGGTACTATTGACTCAGACAGAATCCCCAAGATTTAGGGTCTAGGGAGCTTGACTGAGGTAAACATAACGCCTGTGGGAATCAGGATTGGTCTGGACCTAAGATAACATAAGTCACTATGTTAAAACTATTTAACATTTTAAACTATTTTAAAACACAAGTGCATCACTCCTAAAAATGAGTTTATGATCTAAAAACAATGCTCAAGATTTAGGGGGAAAGGTCTTTAGTAAGTAAAAACATAGATTCTGGGAGATATAGGCAGAGCCTGTCTCATCAGACAGTAAAGGATCACCAGGTTACAAAACTACATCATCCTAGGAAGAGCAGCTGTGCACGTCATTCCATTGAGGAAAGCTGTGTGTTGAACTTTGCTGGCTTGTCTAGTGCTCGTCTGTGTACAAAGGCTGTAGTTGGTGTTTATTACTGTTTGGCTCTTTGAGGGGCCTGTCACCCAGCTCCCAAATAAATCACATGGAAGTTTCTTCTTTCTTATGAATGCCAGCCTTAGCTTGGATTATTTTTAGCCAGCTTTTCCTAACTTAAATTATCCCATTGACCTTTTGTCTCTGGGCTTTTATCTTTCTATATTCTATACATCTTTCTTTCCTTCTTGCTCTGTGGCTTGCTGTGTAGTTGGGTGGCTGGTCCCTGATGTCCTCCTTTACTTCTCCTTTTCATTCTTTGATCTTCTTCTCCGATTTATTCTCCCTGCCTGGCAGCCCCACCCATTCCTCTCTCCTGCCTAGCTATTGGGTCTTCATCTCTTTATTAGACCAATGAGGTGTTTTAGACAGGCAAAGTAACACAGCTTTACAGAGTTAAACAAATGCAACATAAAAGAATGCAACACACCAGGCATTGGTGGCGCACATCTTTAATACCAGCACTTGTGAGTTTGAAGCCAGCCTGGTCTACAGATCGAGTTCCAGGACAAACTCCAAAGCAATACAGAAAAACCCTATCTCGAAAAATCAATCAATCAAACAAACAAACAAAAAGAATGCAACACATCTTTGCATCATTAAACATAATGATTAAGCATAAATGAATGTAACACATCTTCAACTAATATTTTACAACACAGGGCCTTTCTGTCTTTTACAAACAAACCAAACAAAAACCAAATCAGGGCTGAAAGACAAAGGTAAAGGCACTTGCTGCCAAGCTTGACATCTTGAGTTTAATCCCTAGGGCCCATATGATAAAAGAAAGAATTGACTCCCAAAAGTTGTCCTCTGATCTCCATATACTCATAGCACACCTCTTCTCTCTCTCTCTCTCTCTCTCTCTCTCTCTCTCTCTCTCTCCCCCCACACACACACCCACACACACACACACACACACACACACAAAAGGATGGGGGAGGGAGGCAGGCAGACACAGACACACAAATGTAAAACAAAACAAAAATTCTAAAATATGCCAAACAAAGAAACCGTAAAATAAAGCAAACAAAAACAACAAAAATTCAGAGCAATCTACCTTCTCCATTGTTATCTAGTCTAGGTACAATTAGGTCTGTAGATTACTAAGTAAAGGTTTTTATCCACTAATTTAAAACAAGCTACATACAATTTATTTTTTAAAAATTGAGGGGCTTGTCAGTGGTGGCACACGCCTTTAATCCCAGCACTCGGGAGGCAGAGACAGGTGGAGTTCTGTGAGTGTGAGGCTAGCCTGGTCTACAAAGTGAGTTCTAGGACAGCCAAGGCTCCACAGAGAAATTCTGTCTCTAAACAAAAGAAACAAAACAAAAAACAAACAAAAAAAAAAACTGAGGAGAAAGGAGATAGCTCAGGTAGTAAATTGCTTATCTTCCAGGCTTAAGGACTTGGGCAATCCCCAGCATCCATTTAAAAAGGTGGTTGTGGCAGCATGCTTCTGCAATTCCAGTGCTGGGGAGGCAGAGACAGGAGGACCCCTGCACTTGCTGGCCAGTGAGATCCAGGTTCAGTGGAGAACCAATTTCATTTTTTTTTTTTAAGGTACAGAATGATTGAGAGAGATGTCAACCTCTCGTCTATAATCATCAAACACAAAGATGAATATAAAGCATAATATAAATCTATACTTCATGTTCTAAGAAAAGATTAACATTTCACAGTCTATTTTATTTTTCTTTGTATTTTTACAAAAAAGAATAACCACAACTGAGAACTGTTCACTCAGTTGCCATTTACATACATGATTTTCAGGAAGGCAAGAGAAGAGAAAAAAAACAGGGATGGCATTATAATAAGAGAATGAAAAGACAGATTTAAGGTAGGAAAATAGGGGTTCTCTCTCTCTCTCTCTTTTTTATCTCTAGCTGAGTAGTTAGTTAATGGCTGTAAGAGGTTAAGTTATAGCTTATCAAATAATGCTGGGAATAGAGACTTGGACAAACTGAAAATAAAAAATCATAAAAATTTAAAACAGAAATTATCTAGACATAAAGTACAGAGATATACTAGACAGAAAAAACTCACAAAACTGCAGTAGAAGGAAAGAGAATTAGCACCTGCTCAAAGTAGACAATGACATGATCCATGGGGAAGCTCAGCAAGCTGGGAGTCGATCATTAATTATTAATTTTGTTTTGGGACCAGGATTTATTATGTTGCTGGTCTTGAAACCTGGGCTCAAACAAGATCCTTCCACCCCAGCCTCCTAAGTAGCTGGGACTATATGCTTGAACCACTATCTGCAGCTTACTGGATACTAATTGTCACAAGATATTAACTCTTCATAGATATTCAAGCCTGTGTGTGTGTGTGTGTGTATGTGTGTGTGTGTGTGTATGCATGGGAATTCTTTTTTTATTGGAAAAACTGCAGAATAACATTACCTTGTACAGCATCGTTCTATGGCAGGGAACTTTTCTGGCCATGGAGAGGAGTAGGTGAACTCTGTGTCTTTATCATACCAGCACATTAGACATTCACTGTGTTGGTTTCTTTTCCTTTCTTCCTTTTTGAGGGAGTGATTACATGTTTCCATGGCTTCCAACAATCGCTTCTGATGTAAAGAATAGTAAAATATTTAAAAAACAATCCTGTAATCTCAAAGTATTTTCCCCTTTGTATAACACCAGGCTCTTAAAAAATAAAATCTTGGGCTGATGGGGTGGCCCAGCAGGTAAGGGCACTTGTTGCTGTCTGATGACCTGAGTTCAATCCCTGGGACACACGTGATGGAGGGAGATAATCAACTTTCTCAGGTTGTCCCCTAACCTCTGTCTGTGCAACATGTCATGAATGACTGCATGAACACACATGGCTGTGTGTGCGTGTGCACACAGAGAAAATAAAATGAAAGCAGATCGAGAGTTCAGTGTCATTCTCAAGTACAGCCTGACTTAAATACAAGACAACAAAAAAGGTCCAGAGAGAAAAAGTAGGGAGTCAGAAGGGAATCTTGAAGCTGCCTCAGTATAGGGGAGAAGACTCAATGTAAGTAGACTTGAATCCAAAGAGAGAAAGAGAGGAGAACATGAGGGCAGGTTATGTAGTGAAAAGAAGTACAACCAGCACATGGTGCAATCAGGAGACCAAAGTACCAAACAAAGAACCCAAGGAATAAAAAACTAAAAATTAAAAGCACAGACCAACTATTCAACAAAATTATACCAGAGTATTTTCCAATTCTAGAGAAAGAAATGAATGTCTAACCATAAGACACACTTAATTTTTACTTATTCACTGATTTATTGACTGGTGTGCTAACATGCAGGTAGGTTTGCCTGTGTGAGAGGTTAACACCCAGTGTGTCTTCTATTGCTCTCCACCATATAACTGCTTTATTTTATTTATTTTTAACTTACTTATTTTATGTGTATGGTGTTCTGCCTGTATATAAGTTTATGAACTATGTATGTGCCTATTGCCTATGGAGGCTAGATGAAGGCATCAGATCCACTGAAACTTGAGTTACAGATGGTTTCGAGCAGTCATGTGGGTGCTGGGACCAAACCGAGGTTTCTTGGAAGAGCAATCAGTGCTCTTCACTGCTAAGCCATCTCTCCAGTCCCATTTTTGTTTTAAAAAGTTAAACGTGTGTGTGTGTGTGTGTGTGTGTGTGTGTGTGTGTGTGTACACATGTATTTGGATGCCGTAGCATATGTGTGGAGGTCAGATGAAAGAAAAGTAGGAAAGGGGCCAGGCCGTGGTGGTCTCAAATGAATCTTCAAATAACATACTTCAAGGCTTTAGAAACAAAAGAATAAGGCATATCCCTAGACAGTAGGTGACAAGAACTTTCTGAAAGGACCCCAAGAAATACATGATATAGTCCCAGGAATTCAAAGAGATTGAGTGAAGAAATTTCTAATAGTATAGTAAACAATCTACAAAGTAAAGAGATTTCCTATAAAGCAGAAGAAAAGCTTTGCTAGCTATTCTTCTGATAGGGGATTAACATCTAGAACCAATAGTGGCCCTCAACAATTAAATAGAAGAAAATCATTTAATGAGTAAGTAGACAAATGAACCAGACAGTTCTCAAAAGAATAAATACAAAGCTGATATGAAAAATTGCTCAGCATTCTTAGCCATTAGGAAAATACAAATTAAAAGAACTCTATCTCACCCCAATTAGAACGACAATCATTAAAATAACAAATGCTAGGGACTGGGAAGATGGCTCAGTAGGCAAAGTGATTACATACAAAAACATCAAGATCTGGGTTTGATTCCTAGCTTGCCCTTGTAAAAAGCTGGGCATGGTGGTGTACACTTGCAATCTAAGTGTTGGGTAGATGGAAACAGATAGGTTCCCTAGTAGACAAGTGGATGGTGTCTGAAGAATGACACCGACAATTATCTTGGGCTTACAAACACACATGCACACATAAAAAGATTATGTATTTATATGTTATCATTTCATATACTGACCTCATCAATAAAGGGTATTAATACCACAGCTTCCCATTCCTGTTGTTTCCCATTTAGATCAGTTTTAAAATCAGGTGGATAATATTCTATAATTGGTGAGTCTTCGCTGGTCATCAAATGCTGTGAAAATATAAACAGAAAAACAGATACTAGAGACACTATTAATATAACTTTCATTAACATACTTGGAACTCTTCCTTACCTTACTAGGCTGTAACAATGTATTCGGTACATTATAGTTCCTAAATAAATAAAACCTTTTTGTTTTCCTGTTTTTTCCCCCTCAGACAGCTTCTCCCTGGTCATGAAATTAACACCACCTGGTCTCAGCCTCCCCAGTGTTGGGATTACAAGCCTGTGTCAGCTTGTTGAGCAAACTGTAAGAATTTCAATTGTACTGCCACACATTTTTTGTCTGTTTCTTTAACTTAGTTATGTAGCAAAATTACTTTTACTATGAGTTACTTCTCTTTCTCTCCCAATTCCTGTCTTGAGACAGAATTTAAGTAGTCCAGGCTGGCCTTGAACTCAAGAGCCTCCTGCCTCAGCCTCAAGAATGCTGGAATTATAGGTGTGCACCACCACACCCCTGCTCCTATTTATTAGTTTTGATTCTGTATTTTTGCTTAGAAACTGTTACTAATTCATGTACCTGTGTGTGTATGTTCATGGGGTGTATATGGAGGTCAGAGGACAACCTGTGGAGTCTCTGCTGGCCTCATGCCATGTGGGCAGTGGGGATGGAGTCACCAGGCGTGGCAGGAAGTACTTTTACTTGACGAGCTTCTTGCCAGCCCCATTTTTACTTTTCTATTGTCTTTTTACTCTATAAGATCTACCACCTAAATTCTGTTTTTTTTACTTACAAGTTCAGTTCAATTACTTTCACTATTTCCAAGAGTTCTCCATTTCAACCTCAAATTAATAATTTATTTCCATGCCCTAATCAGATGATTCTAGTAATATAATTGCAAGCATCAAAGATAATCTAAAAAGAAAAAAGTAAAATCCAAGACTCACAATACCATTAATAACAGAATCTGATATCATAGATTTTTATTATATTTTAAAAAAGAGGTAGACAAAGAAAACATACCAATATCTTATGCAAAAACGCATTAGGAAATGAAAAGGGAAGATTATAAAATTAAAAAATGAGGTAGCATATTCCTAAAGTGATAATCTAAAATTTAATTGCTATTACATGAACACTAAACAAATAAAACAAATGTGATTATAATATACTTATTGGCTAACAGTGGTAGGTTATGAAAGTGTAATGTAGCCGAAGGAAAAAATAAAAAAAGACATCAGAGATATTTAAGAAAGGGAGGCTGAGGCCAGCATCAAGGCAGAAGGGAGCATGGCAATGTTAAAGGGGCAATGGGTTATGTGTATGCATCTACTCCAGTCATGGGACAAGACATGCCATGAGAGGTACGGACACAGACCCTAGAAAAACTACATTATTTTTATTATCTGTTTAGTATGCTTAGTGTGACTTTGGGACCCGGTCTTCCTCTTGTTATATGAAATACATTAATAAGAGAAAAGTCTTTCAATTTGTTAAAGTGGATGGGGGGTTGGGTGGAGGGGGGGGGGGGGGGGGAGAGGAAGTGGGGGGCGGCAGGAGAAGGGGAGGGGGAACTGGGGTTGATACATAAAATGAAAAATAAATAAATAAAAGAATGCTTAAAATATAAATATATCCTGGGGTGATACTAATGTTAAGATAACAACTCATTAGAACTGCCCTCATTCTAATAGTAGAGGATGAAAGAAAGCAGTAATTAACCTTCAGATATGTAGAAAAGGAGACAGCAACTGATCTACCAGGTTAACTTTTTCAGTGTAGAATGAAAGGTATGCTAAAAGTGATGAAAATGAAGAAACTAGGTACTGAAAAGTTTATAGTGTTTGCATTTTTTTTTTTTTTTTTTTTTTTTTTTTTTTTTTTTGAATCTGTGAGTCAGAGACAAGCCTGTTCTACGCAGCAGGTTCCGGGACAGTTAGAGCTATGCAAGGAGACCGTATCACCAGAAATAAATAAATGCTGGGTGGTCATGATGCACACCTTTGATCCCAGCACTTGAGAAGCAGAGACGGGTGGATCTCCGTGAGTTCAAGGCCAACCTGGTCTACAGTGTGAGTTCCAGGACAGCCAGGGCTACACAGAGAAACGCTGTCTCAAAAACACAAAACAAAAATAAAGAAACCTGAACATAAGTATTGCCTAAGACAAACAAAATTTTGTTTATTAAATCAATATGGGCAGTAGTGTTTCCAGGTTTGTATGAAGAATTATACAAAAAAAATATATAAGGGGTCGGTGAGGTGCTTCAGTAGTTATAAACACTGTCTTCCCAGCACCTACATGGAAGCTCACAACGTACATAACTCTAGTTCCAGGGAATCCAATGCCCTTATCTGTCTTCTGTGGACTCCAGGGGCACATATGGTACACAGATAAACATACACGCAGGCAAAACACCCATACTTTTAAAAATAAATCCTTAAAATAAGAATATTAAGAAAAACCATTCAATTCCAAAACCTACCTGGTAGCATGTAGGAAGCAAATTTTTGCTAGCTGACGGAAGGACAGCAAGAAGCTGCTCGAATGGCTTGAAGGGTTTCCCCAGTTCAAAATGGATTTTAAGTGTACTGATGTTTCGGATATCGGACAGGAAGGGTGCATAATGATAGGGATAGTACCTATGAAAGAAAATGAGTTTCTAACTGAAAACTTTATTCAAAATGCTCAACATTAAAATTTTCCTACATTTATTTAATAATATATAGGCATAATTAAAACATATTCATAATTCTATCACTTAAGTATAAGAAATTAGAACCTGTGTAAAGTTTAGCTCACAGGATAGCAATAAATATATATATATACATATATACATATATACATATTATTGATATTAATATCAATATCTGGGGACTTAGAGACAGGGTTTCACCTAGGAAGCCAGGACTGGCCTCAAAATTCACAACTTTCTTAAATGTGCATGGTGGCATTAGGGATGTCCTAAATGTGCACCACAAATCTTTCAGTCAATGTACTGGACAGTAATCAGGTAGTTAGACGCTTCAGACTAGTCACTTGAACCTGGGACCCCTAAGCAAAGGGCTGGGCACTCAGTATTCAGCGAATACTGACACCAAAGCTGTAGTCAGCCCCTAAGGAAGGACAGTAGGTATGGGCTCATACAACCATATCAGTCAACTCTAAGAACCTTTATCTTTGAATCAGTCTACCAATAATCAACCCCACACATTTTGTTTATACCATCTTATCTTTAACTACAGACATGTTTTAATAAGGCTTTGAACATAAAATTAAAAACATTTCACTAGACACAGGGGGACAGATACTTGGGATATATAGAGAGAAAGGAAGAGAAAAGAGGGAGACTAAACATTTTTTTTTTTTTTTGCTTGTTTTTGTTTTTTTAGACAGGGTTTCTTGGTGTAGCTTTGGAGCCTGTCCAAGTACTTGCTTTGCAGACCAGGCTGGCCTCAAAGTCACAGAGATCGGCCTGCCTCTGCCTCCCGAGTTCTAGTATTAAAGGCGTGCGCCACCAATGCGCAGCTGACCGAATATTTTTTTTTTAAAGATTTTTATTATGTATACAGTGTTCCATCTGCTTGTATGCCTGCAGGCCAGAAGAGGGCACCAGATCTCATTACAGATGGTTGTGAGCCACCATGTGGTTGCTGGGAATTGAACTCAGGACTCCTGGAAGGGCAGTCCGTGCTCTTAACCTCTGAGCCATCTCTCTAGCCTGACTAAACATTTTTTAAATGACATTTTATTTACTTTGTGTATGGGGATGTGTGTGCATGTGGAGGTCAGAAACCTGTGGGAGTCAGCTCTCTCTATCATGTGGGTCCCAGTGCCTGAACTCAGGTTGTCAGGCTTGGTGGCAAGTACCTTTCTTTACCTGCTTAGCCAACTTTCTTGTGTGAGAGACGCACATTTGGTAATTATGCAATGTAGGCAGAATGGCATATGGAATAGTGTAAGACACATTGATGTTCTAAACAGATAGGCTTGACTTGACTTTCGTACAATCTTGGGATGATTAGTTAAGTTTTCCGAGCTTTAATAGCAAGTAGAAAACATTATTTACTCCGAGTATATGAAAATATGGTTTTGAAGTGCCTTGTTTTAGTGCTTGGCAATTAAACAGCAATTACTGGCATTTAGCTATCTTTAAAAGTGACAAATAAGGATCTTTAAATTTAGATTATTCTTGAGAGAGGCCCAAGAATGAAAGAATTTCCTTTCAGAGCTGGCTAACAAGTAAATTAATACCTAAATCCACATTATCTGCATTGTTTTGAGCTTCTTGAGGATGCTCTAGAGAGCCTACCATACATGCTGTGAAGACCAATGAGACAGCTGTCACCACAATAGTCTTTACAATCTGCACTTGTTTTTTTCTTCCTTTTCTTTTCTTTTTTCTTTAGGTAAGGTCTTGGTGTGCAATATAGTTGACCTTGAATTTGTGGTGCTCCTCCTGCCTCGGCCTCCCAAGTGATGGGATTACAGATATGAGCTGTCACATCTGGAAGTTATTTTTCTATTTTAGTGAATGAGTAGGCATTTTCAATAGGATTAGAAGTATTATGGATGCGAGATGAAGTATCACTCCCCTAATACTCATGTACAGAAGCCTTGTTCCCACCTGTTGTGCTATCTGGGAGGTTCTGGAAACTTTAGGAGGTGGGACTAATTGGACTTAGTTTACTGGGACATGTCTTGAGGGGCCACATCTTGTCCTGAGCTTTCCTCTACCTTTCTCTCTATTTTCTGGTTACAATGAGGTTATCAACTTTGCTCCTCCATGTCCACCCTGCCATGACACTTTTGCTTCACCAGAGCCTAAAGAGACTGGAGCTGGCTGAGCATAAACTGAAGCCTGAAACCATGAGTCACAATGATCTTTCTTCTTTTAAGTTGTTCTGTCAGGAAATTTTGTCAGTGAGAAAATCTGAGCAATACAGGAAACAGAGAAATGGTGAAGAGTACTAAATTTTAGTAACATAAGCAAAGCCTTTTCTTCAGACACACATATAAGTAGTTTTCGCTTCAGAAATATTCCTGTTAAAGAGTACTGTACATTTTGAGTACATAAAATATTACAAATAACCTTATGTAAACTATCACTGGGACTCAAACAGTTGTTAAGACACTGCCATTTATAGTGGATTCTTTCATTTTTAATTTTAAACCCCAGACTTTATGCATGCTAGATAAGTGCTCTATCATGGAATTATAGCCCCCCCCCCCCCCCTCTCTCTCTGGTACTGGAGAATGACGCTAGAGTTTCATCCAAATGCTTTATTGCCAAGCTATATCCCAAGCCCATGTTGATTCAGACTGATAAAGTATTTTGTAACTTTAGATTAACAAAGGCTAGGGCTATAAATATCTTTCTTAGTTAAAAGTCTTTAAAATATTTTCATTTAAAAACAGACTATATTTAATTTAAAATTGACTGTATACCTATATGAAAATCATATAAGTAGAAATAAAAGAAAAAGATGTATAAATGAGACTCTACTAGTAGGAACCATTATAAAATGAGATGCCTTTACCAGCTCCAGGATTGGACTCCATGATAGTAATAGTGTAAGATCCACTGTATAGCCTGAACATAACAAGCAGCTTGATCAGCCAGAAACTCACTGAAACACAAAGGGGCATTTTCATTATAATGTTGTTTTCTGAAGATAGGCCAATTTCTTCAGTGTATTTTTAATACCTAAAAATTATAAACAGAAAAATTGCAAAATATTTACAATTCCATCTTGTCACATGAATGGTTGCTTTACAGTTTTGTAAGCCAACTATCAATATAGTTAAACCTGATGTGCACACTTAAATTGTTAGTATGTCATATTTTTGCCTTAAGGTTAGAAGATTCATCTAACGAACTTTCTACAAAGTGGTACTATCACTCTCTTAAATATAGGAATGAGAGTAAACCCAGGAGTTCTTAGAAATCTGGTGATAGCATTTATAACACCTTTTAAAAAGTGTTACATGTTCTCAACAAGATTCCCTCTAGTCTCGTTTCTCAAAAGCCAAAAGAAATTACTAAGATTTGGGTAAAACAAATCTTCAAATCAGCACAACAAAACAAGCCCTAGTCTAAAGCCAAAAATAATCACTTGAAATTTCTTATCTCTGTATTTCTGGCAGGTATACTTATATATTTAAAATTTCTTATCATTAACTTAGTTGTGTGTGTATGCATGCCATGTACTTGTATGGAGGTCATGAGACAACTTTCAGGAGTTGATTCTCTTTATAGGTGTGCTTTTAAACTAAAGTATTTCCTGCTTGCTAAAATTTTGGATAATGAAGAAAACCATTTTTATCATCTCCTAGCAATTACTCATTTGGGTCTGCTGCTTTTCAGTAGCTGCTAATATGAGGCCATATACCCCAGTGTTAGTTTTTCTCGTTTACCCAATTTTTAAAAAGTACCAGTAAATGTGTGTATTATAATTATCAGTGACTTGTGTTTCCTGTCTTTAGATTATAAGCCTCTTTCTGAGTTGTGGGGAACTTTTTGCAACCACCATTGAATAGCTGTCCAGATTCTGGAGATGGGGAGAGGAGAGATGATGAGCCAGAGATTACTGAGCCTTCCTTTTTTAAAGAAAAGATCTTTCTATGGAGCTGAGCTGGCTTTCAACTTCCACCCCCTGCTTTGGCCTCCTGACTGTACTCAACTGTCACAAGTCCTGGCTCTATGATGGGGCTTCTTATTAGACTTTAAAAAAATTTATTTGTTTTTTTTTCTGAGACAGATTCTTATAAGGTAGCCATGACTAACCTGGAACTTGCTTATGTTAAGTTTTTTGATTTCAGACTTGTAGCAATCCTCCTGTCTCTGCTTCCTGAGTGCTTCCTAAGAGATTACAGGTACCTGCTATCATGTTGAATCTTAGACATTTATTATTTTTATTTTTTCTGATACTGGAAATCAAACATGGGGCCTCATAGAGTCGAGGCAAACACCCTTCCTCTGAACTATACCCTCAGTCCATTTATTGGACATTTAGAGTGCTTTTAATTTAGTGTTTTAAACAATTTCGTAATATGTATAAGGATGTTTCTACTTGCTAATTAAATGTTTTAAAGTCATTTTTGTGTATGTGTGGTGTGCATACTTGTATTAGTGTGTATGAGGGTGCTTGTGCCCATATGCACTTGTTTGTGGAGGCCAGAGACCAATGTTGGGTATTTTCCTCAATTTCTCTCCACCTTATATGTTGAGGAAGGGTCTTTTGTTGAACCCAGAGGTCACCAATTTGGCAATTCTAGCCAGTCATATTGTACTGGGAACATCCTGCTTCTACATTCAGGACATTCTTCTGAGTTCTAGGACCATAGGTGGGCTGCCACACCTACCTTGGCATTTACACTGGTGCTAGGGATGAGAACTTGGGTCCTCAGGCGGTGGGGCAAGTGCTAGTCACTATGTCATCCCTACCCACCAAGCCATCTCCCTAGTTCATCTCGTCAGCAATTATCACAGAAATAGAACACATGCCAGAATTACTGTCATGAAATGCATAATTTAAGAAACCAATAAATCTCCCACTACTTCATTAAAATCACATTGTTTTCTGAAAAACTGCAAAATCTACTTCTTATACTGCAAAATACAACAAACACAAAAAGCATACTCAGATACTACATCAACCCCCATCTTCGTCATATAGTATGTTCTTTTATATTGTCTAAATTCAGTTTCAAACAGATCGTCATCTTCAGTCTCATCTTCAAAATTATCTGTGAGAAAAACCAGAAACATGGGACTCATAAATATGAATATTGTTTCCTACCTAATGCTGCAATCAATGCATAGCAAAACTGACACTTATAAACCATCACAGGAATTTACTGAATAAGTACTAACAAAGGGAGGGGATAGCAACTATGTGTCAAGGAAACAACAGTAAACAGTAAACAACAGCGTGGCCTCACCTTTAGAAGCCACTCCTTCACCTTCACTTTTGTCTAAAGCAGCCCAGCTTAAAGAATTTTCCTGGCCCTATAAAAATGATACATTATCATAAGATGAACAATAAGATATGTTTCCAAGTCAGACATGTAAAAAGGAAATTAGAAAAATACTAGATACAACTGAAATGATCTTTAAGGGATACTCTGCAGCAGCTTACTTTAAAAATAAGATTTAAAAAAAAACCTCAAAACTATGTTTTTTGGTTATCAACTGTTTTCTAAAATCATACATTTTTATTATATAAAGCTGATATATAATAAGTGATTACCACTCTCATAAAAGCATATTTAATTATATATACCAAGACCAAGAATATCTAAAAATTTATCAATTACAATACAAACATAAACGAAATAATTTTACAACTTACCAACTGAACATTGTTAGACACCAAATTTTGACCTGCTGCTAATAGAACCTATCTGTTTAAGCTTGACTTCAATGAGCACTTTCTGTATCTCAGAGTCTTGTCTTAAGACTATTCTTCTGACCTACTGTGTCATTCATGCCCTACCCATCTGTTTTTTATTTTTATGATCTTAACCCTTCTCCTCATGTTTCTGACAGCATAGTCATCAGTAGTGATGCCATCAGCTTTTCTTTATATGACTCTAGCCTCTACCAGTGGCATGGTCATGGGCTATGCCTGCATGTATTTTTAATATAACTCCTCTAGAGAATACCAGTGGCATGGTCATGGGCTATGCCTGCATGTATTTTTAATATAACTCACATATTCCTGGAAGACTGGTAATGTTTATGACGTTTAAGGACTGAGCTAAGGTAGAAGGGCTAGGAGTTATTAACATGCAGGCTTTGTGAATACAAGTTTCCTCCATAGTTGCAAAGTTTCTTCTTATTTTTTCCCCTTTCTTTCTATTTGAGATAGTCTTACCGTGTTGCCCAGGCCTGATCTGAAATTTAAGATCCTCAAGTCTCTGCATTTCAAGTAGGATTTATAGGCATGTACCATCACACATAGCACAAAGCTTGTTTTCTTAGGAGAAATACATGTGGTGGTTTCAAATGGATTACTGCTGTTCCACTAAAAAAGAGCTATGCACTAAAAGATAGCTTGGTGGGTGAAGCCCCTGATGCCAAATGTGAGGACTGGAGATAGATCTCCAGCACCCACGTAGAAAGCCAGGCAGCCATGGAGGCTGCTTGGAATCCCAGCACTTGTGAGCAGACACAGGAGCTACCCTGAGCAAGGTGACTAGCAAACTAGCTGGATTGGTGAGCTGTAGGTCAGCTGTGGCTCACCTGCTTCAATAAACAAAGTGAAGAGCAACTGAGGATGACAATGCACCAATGCCCACATGCACGCACACATACAGATCCACACAAACACCACACACAGAAATGTGAAAAAATGAAAAAGAAATAGAAAAATTGTGCCAGAGAAAATCAGGGATATCTACATTTCCTAGGGGAACATTTACTATTCTTGAGCCTAAATAGAGCCAGGATCCCTCAAGAAAAGTTGAGGTCTCTTTTACAAACTAACACAAGCAAGACAATGCTTTACCTGAGATGTTCTGTAGACACTAGAATATTCTAAGGGAGTCTATCATTCATTATTAATCAGAAACATTTACTAAATATTGTACTACTTTTAAAAGAGTTGTTTATTTATATTTTGTGTATCTGAGTGTTCTGTGGCAGGTATGTAAGTGTACTGCATGCATGCCTGATGCCTGTGGAGGCCAGCAGAGGGTGCTGGATACCTTGGAACTGAGTTACAGTTGGTAGTAAGCTGTCACATTCAGGTTGGAATAAAATCTGGGTCCTTTGCAAGAGTAGCAAGTCCTCTTAACCACTGAACCATGTTGCTAGCTCAGTGGTTGCCACACCCACTCCAGTGGAGTCTGTGTGACATGAGGCAAATATTGCTAAAAACATGTCCAGGCCTGAGGTGTGAGCTTTCATAGCTAGGTCTCCTGGATGTCACTGGCAGGATCCCAAAAGGACAAGATGGTCTCTTGTGTCTCACCATTTGGGGTGGGTTGTTATCTGCTTTTGTCTTTTATCTTATGACTGGTCTGGCTTTGTCAGCATCAGCAGATGATCAGGTGTTGGTTAAAGAAAGATTGAGTACCTCTAGATATTTTGGTTCCAGGACCCGAAAGCAACTCACCAGCAATTTTTGTATAAAATGTTATCATTGAAGTTTCGTTTGTGCCCGTGGTCCGAGCAGAGCAGTTTCTTGCTAAGGTGGCTCAGGATATGAATATTCCTACTAGAAGTCCCCCGCCCCCTTAGTTAGAACTCTATTTGAAATGTTTTAGACAGAAAATAAAAGCTTCAGATCAATTATGAATCCATTCCAGCAAGCAGAGTTGTCTTACCAGATGTCTAGGAAAAGTAAAGGAGTAGCTAAAGAAGGAGATAATTCAGAAAGTTTAGGGGAGCGTGGAATTCCTATAAAGGTTGAATTAGGCAGAACTTATTACAAGATTAATGGGAAGTGGTAGCAGCCCCTAAGGAACAAAGGTCCATATTTTTATAAGACAACAGCTGCCCCTTTGCCATACACAGGAGCTTAAGATAAAGACTAATCACTGGGTTGTCATTGGGGGTGACAAGAGATTGTATATACCATTGAGCTGGTGGGAGAAACTAAAAAGAGCAAGATCACCTTAATGTGTCATGTCTTTAGCTGACAAAAGAGAGATTTTATGGCAAATGTATAGATATTTACATTAACAATCAGAAGACTTTGTATGAAGAAAAAGGGGTGATAAAAAGGATTTTATTGATTACTTTATGAAATTTGTAAATTGGCCTAAAGAATCTTAAAGTTCAGCAAGATCATATTTTCAGAGTCACAGCCACCTCAGCAACTTAACCACTGTCTGGGACCCAGATAATTCTGACTAAGACTGCTTCCTGTTTTGTACTTTTGGTTTAACACTTATTTAGAGCTAATAATATCTATGATACACATTTTCTGTACTCAAGCCAAAGCTGAAGTTCCTGTATTGCTTGTATAAGTTATGGTGATGAAGATTTTTGCAGCAGCATCAAACCTCTCTTGTGTTTGTGTCTGTCTGTCATGCAGAATCCTTCCTAACCTGAGTACCAAGACTCTGATTCTCCCACAGTGTGGTTCTCTCCCTGAGTGGTCTGTGGCAAATGGTTATTGTTTTATTTAATTATTCTTAATCAGTCTACTGCTGGCTTAGTGTCACAAAATTAAATGCTATAAATATTCACATTTAACAAACTAGTTTAAGACCACTATGCAACATACTTATAAATCCCATCACTTAGGAGATAGAGGCAGGAGATCAGGACTAGCCTAGAGTACATAAGACTGATCTCAAATAAACAAGCAAGTAAACAAACAAATAAAAAAATCCCAAACGTCTCAAGTAAATAGAAACTAATGCAGTGGTCTACTGTTTTCAAATAACACAACTTAATAACTGATTTTAAAAGTTAACTTATAGGCTTCTTAAATTTTGTTTTAACACACACACACACACACACACACACACACACACACACACACACACACACACACACAGAGTCTGAATGTATGCATGTGCACCACATGCATTACTGGTATCCATGAAGGCCAGAAGAGGATGATCCCCTGAAACTGGAGTTACAGTTGTAAGCTGCCATGTGGGGGCTGGGAACTGAACTTGGGTCTTCTGCAGGTGCTCTTGACTGCTGAGCCATCTCTCTAACCCTATTTATTGGGTTCTTGATAGAGGAAACATAATACTATTCCTTAGAGGTAAAAATAAAAAAACTCATTTTTTCTTAAATACATATTTATGATATGAGAGAAACACACAGAGACAGAATCCAAAACAATTTTAGATGCCTGTGAAGAAGAAGACATGAAAATGAAACAACCCCCTGAAACCTAAGGAAAATGAAAAACAAGGAATATTATTTTTACCCTTATAGTTAAAAAAAAAGGAAAGAAAGAAAAGATAAAGAAAGGAACACAAGAAACTGGTCACCTTTGATTTTCTTTTTTCCTTGAAGTTCTTGGCTTCTTCAGCTGCCACACCTGCTGCTTCATTGAGATACTTGTTACCAACTTTGCTTTCAAACCACTTGAGGTCCACAAAAACTTCACTGAAGTGCTCTCGATCAAACTGAAAGAAAATAATGCTATCTTAAAATGACTTAAACATATGTGAAAGAGTACAAACTAAGTTTCTAACAGGAACTATTTCTGAGGCATAGAAAGTAGGAGAATGTTTATACAAACACACACACACACACACACAAAATATCATTAACTTTGATTATATATATATATATATATACACAAAAAATATATCATTAGCTCTGAAAATTATACATTAATAACTAAAATGAAATAATTCAAGTAAAATTATACAGAATGAACAATCAGAAAAAAGCTACAAAATAGTTTTTTTTCTGGTATTAACTAAATGATTAATGACAATTTACAATTACACTAGGGAAGGAAAAAAACCTTGTGATTACTTACATCTGACAGTTTCACAAGGTATCTCTCAAATCGAGGTAAGTTGAGATGTCCACTTTCATTAATATAACCTAAAATGAACCAAATCTTAATTTGTAGTATAAACTGACAATATTTTCTAAGTAGCTCTATAAAATTCTTTCACAAACTGAATAATTCTTTTAATGAAGAGAACCTTTGTTTTGCTGTCTATAAACTTGTATTACTATATTTTAGGCACTGAAGTAAAATATTGGAAATTCCAGGTTACATAATGATAATGCTTCCATACTTCCAACTATATTTCTAACAACCCCATATTTATTACAGTCTATCTGGATCATTTAAATTGACATGTTACTATAAGAAAAGCTGTAGCTGGCTGTGGAGGCACACACCTGTATCCTATCATATTTAGGTTACGTAGGCTGTGGCAGGAGGATTTTGAGTTTGAGGACAGCCTGGGAATACATAGTAAGACTTTGCCTCTAAAAGAAAAAGAAAGGAAAGGAAGAATTTCCTGCAACTTAGAGGAATTGCTTACCATTTCCAGTTTTTACTGAAAAAAAAAAATTGGTTCATATTAAATACTTTTATGTACATTTAGAACAACTGGATTTCTACAATGAAATATGAACAGAATGAAATGAAACTAATGAGGTTTGCTTGTTATCTTAAGGAATTAGAGGTGACATTAGTTATTTAATGAATGAGGCTATTTACCTGTAGTCAGCTTTATTCATCCATCCATCTATCCACCCAACCACCCACCCACCAATCTATTTATTTATGGTTTTTTGAGACAGGGTTTCTCTGTGTAGCCCTGGCTGTTTTAGAACTCAGAGATCTGCCTGCCTCTGCCTCCTGAGTGCTGGGATTACAAATGTGTGCCACCACCGCCCAGTCCTACAGTCAGTTTTAGTTACCACTGAAAATGACAACCTCAGTGCCTGCCACTTAGAGTAAAAGAAACCCATATGTTTTCCTAATTTGGTCATGCATGCAATTGTCTAGCAATGGAGGGAAATCTCTAGGGTGAGCTGGCACTAAATTGGCAGTAAAATTGGTCTTACCTCCAAGTTCGGGCAGGATGGCAATGTACGTTCCATAAAGGAGAGGCAGAGCATCATGATTAATATGCAAATGAGGTAGATGAGGGATAAAATCATTGCCAACAAGAAATCCCATCAAAATCCAATCATCTATAATTTTTTCAATATCATACTTAAATGTGATCTTTTCCTATAGCAAAACGGAGAATAAATTGAAATCCTATAGAAATTCCTGTATGCAAAAAACTGTGGTCCATGGCTATATTAATACTTACTTTTAATGCTGAAAATTCATAATCAATATACTCTCTCATTAAAGACAAGTGTAGGAGGTGAAATGTCGTTTCTTCTGGTGCACAAACCCTGTAATTAGTCAAATGATCTGATCAAAACAGAGTGGTCCAACTTCAAAAATGTAGCAATGATTAAGTAAAAATTATCATTACATATGAGAATGTCATAATAATGGGTGAAACATGATAAAGTTCAAAATAATTGGTTTACATTATACTTTCGCTGGAAGGATTCTAAAGAACTTATAAGGTCTAAATACACAATACATATAAGAAACTAGTGTGATCTGGCCCAGTTACTATTGGTCACTGTAGGAAGTGTACAAATTAGTGAGGGTGTGTGTGTGGACATATACTTAAATTTATGCAATATAGTTTATCTCTTGCATTGGATAGGATGCTATATTAGCTTATACTCCAAGTTTAGCTATAAAAAATAATATTAGGGGACAGCAACATATTTAAATAGATAATACATAAGCAAGATTTATGAGAAGAATCCAAGGGCAGTTCAACATAACGTAACCAACATCTTATAGCACACAAATAGAGTGAAGGGGAATGTTTTCCATGATCATTTTTGCAGAAAAACCATTTAACTTAAACACTCTCCTGTGATAACACTGAAATGCAAGTACTCAGGAGGCAGAGGAAGAAGGATAATGAATTTGAGGCCAGCCTGGTCTACATAGAGGTTTGGCTAGCTTGGCCTATAGAAAGAAACTGTGTTAAAATTAGAGAGAGAGAAAGGGGGGGCGGGAGTAGCAAGAGGCTCATTGGGCAAAGACACTTGCCATTAGGTCTGATGACTTGAGTTTGATCTCCAGAGCCTACTTCTACAGGCTGTCCTCTGACCTCCACAACTGGGATTGCAAGTGTGTGCTTGCGAGAACACACACACACACACACACACACACACACACACACACACACACACACACACATCTCTCTCTCTCTCTCTCTCTCTCTCTCTCTCTCACACACACACACACACACACACAATGTAAAATATACTCTCAAAAAAAAAAGGAGAAAAAGAGCTATAGAGATAAATTTCCTTAATATGATAAAGGACATTTATGAAAACACATAATTAACATTATAAGGTGAACACATTACCCCTAAGATCAGGAATAAGACAAGGATACCTACTTTACCACAGCTATTCAACACATCATAGCTATTCAACATTGTTCTTTAACTCCTAGCCAGGGCAATGAGGCAGGAAAGATAAAGAAATGGAATTAAAATTGGAACGGGATAAATACAATTTTTATCTGTTTTCAGATGGTGTGATTCTACATAGAAAACTCCATAGAATACATAAAACATATTAGTGCTAATAAACAAATAACACATCTACAGGGAACAAGATAGGCGGTATTTCTGTACACCATCAAAGGACAAACCAAAGGGAAATTAAGAAAATTATTCCAGGGCCTGGACAGGTGGCTCAGAGGTTAAGAGGACTTGGGTTCAGTTCCCAGAACCCACATGGTGTTTCACAACCATCTGTAACTCTAGTTATGGCATCTGACATCCTCTTCTAGGTTTGGTGGGTACCACACATACATGTGGTGTATATACATATATGCAAGCAAAACATTCATGTACCTAAAATAAAATAAAAAAATCTGAAACAGGATTCCATATGCAAACGTCATCCAGAAGAGTTACATACTAAGAATAAACTTAACCAAGGAGTATATCAGGGAAACTACAAAATTTTGCTGAAAGAAATTAAAAGGAGTCACAAAATGTGTGTGCATGGATTAAAAGGCTCAACATCAAGATCTTTTAAAAGATCTACAGATTTCTTAGATCTTTCTTAAAGCTATCCCTATCAAAATCCCAAAGTTGTTTTTCACAAAAATAAGGAAAAATCTGTCCTTAAAAAACAAAAAGAAAACAAACAAACCCACCATGCTTTCAAGACACCCTAAACATACAAAATAATCTTGGAAAAAGAATAAATTTGGGTTTCATTCTTCTTGATTTCAAAGTTAACTACATTAAAATCTACATGAATACACCAGTAAGAGTATAAAGACAGGTACATTCGACCAAGGAATAAAGTATTAAACCTAAGAAATAAAACTTTGCATACACAAGCAAATGATTTTCAACAAGGAACCAAAACTTTCAATAGGCAAAGTAGAGTTTTCTTAACAAACAGTGATAGGAAAATTGAGTTTCCACATACAAAGAATGAAATTGGATTTTTACCTTATACTATATACAAATACTAATTCAAAATTGATCAATGACTAACTATGTAAGCTAAAACTATATAACTCAGAGTGGAGCATAACTCAGCAATTGGGTGCTTACCATTGGGTTCAAGCTCAGCATTGCAAAATAACCAAAGCCCCAAAGAGCAAAACAAACCCTCAACAAAACTTTTAGAATGAAATATAGCAGCAACCTTTATGACATTAAATTTGATAGTGTTTTCTTGGATACTACAGACATTAAAAGCATAAGCAATAAAAGAAAAAGATAAACTGGACTACACCAAAATAGGCACCTATGAATTAAGAGAAAATATATGCAGAGCCCATCTGTAAGGGATTAATTACTAGCCATGCTTAATTTTTGTTCCATCCTCCAACAACTGATTTACCTTTGTGTTTTTTTTCCACCAAACCGAACCTCTTCTCTTAAGAGAGAAAAATGTGCCTCGTGACTTGTTAATCCAAGCATGATCTGTTGAAAAATAATTATGAAATATTTTTACTCTACTTTTGCTCATACCATTAATTAGGTTTACAAAAGCAACTAAATAAAATTTCTATGCAGACAACAATTTAAAAGCCAAAATGTGAATATTAAAATCAAATATGCAGATATCACAAACTGATTCAATCACAGGACATGGATGGAATCAAGTGAGTACACTTTTCTACAGCTATGTTCACCTTGGAGCCCAGAGCCTTGTAACTGACATGACACCCCCCCATTTCCCCTTCCTAAATCACTTTCTTTCTCTGGATTTTCACAAATTCCTACTTCTTATGAGGATTAGAAATTAGAAGCAGCAACTTGCCCATGCTACAAAAATATAGAGGATGCTTAGAGTTCAGGGTGACCATAATATGGAAATTCATTCCAAACAGAAAAGGGCACTTTAATCTCTCGTACGTCCTACTTCCTCAAGTGAACTCAAAAGTCTAGTGAACATGTGAATCAATGGCAATATATACTGTTTATTTTACATAAATTCGTATTCAAACAACAAAACAAAATGAAACATTTATGAAGCAATCAGGAGATGTAGTTATTTATGTTAAGCATTTTTTATTATTATTATTATTATTATTATTATTATTATGTGTGATAATGGCATTGTGGTTAAGTACCTTAAAAACTTGTTTATAGAAACATTATGAAAATAATATTTATTAAGTAAAAAGAGTATATGGAATTTGCTTCAATAACCCATCCTTGTAGAAAAGAGGCAATGTCATTAAATTAAAAATAATTAATACTTAAGGAAACTTGCCTGGTGTGGTGGCACATGCCTTAATTCCAGTACTTGGGAGGTAGTGGCAGGCAGATCTTTGAGTTTCAGGCCATCCTGGTCTACAGAGCAAGTTCCAGGACAGCCAGAGATATACAAAGAAACCCTGTCTCAAAAAAACAAAACCAAGCAAACAAACAAACAAAAAAAAGGTACAAGGAAGGTAGCTTGTTTGGCTAGTTTAGGTCAGCATGAAAACTTCTCTGATAGGGGGCTGGAGGGATGGCTAAGCAGTTAGAGAGTTTATTGCTCTTGCAGAGGACTTGGGTTCAGTTCCAGGTACCTAAAGAGTAGCTCATAGCTATCCCTAACTTCAGTTCTAGGGAATCCAATGCCCTCCTTAGATTCCAGGCACACACGTGGTGCATATACATACATGCAGGCAAAATACTCGTACATATAAAAGGTATTTGAGGCATGGAGCTGTGAATTAGGAGGTTTTCATGACCTTAGGTAAAACAGTCCTCTTTGCTTGGTTTCAGCATTTCCTTTTCAGCACCATACTCACAGAACTAGGATTACTCATTTCTATAGACTATACAGACATCAATTATTCATAATCTATGACAAACAAAACTTATATCCCCAATTCTTTTAGAACTTAAACAATGGCAAATGTGGTAATCATTGCCTTCTGTATTCATTGCTACAGCCAGTGAACGTAATACATTAAAAACTCCATCTCTTAGGTATTTAGTTCTCTAACACAAGCTTATAATGACAACAAGGGTTATACCTACCAAGTCAGCATCTAAGCCATAAAGACAATGTCTGGTGTTTGGATCATGATCTGGCTTTGCTTTCTCCGATCTGATAAATTCCATGATTTTATGCTCTCCTTCTCCAGGAGTCTAAACATAATGTTTAAAAAAGAAGGTGGTAATATGCTATGCTTCAAACTTTAAAAAATTTTAAACTTTTAAAAATTCCTTAGATTAAAAAAGATGATAACCTCATGGCCTGAGAAGTAGATGGTAACGCCTTGCCATGATTTGTCAGTGGAAATTTTCATATTTACAAAATACTTCAGATGTTCATGCAACCTGGCCATGAATTCAGTCCCTATAAATAAAAAAAAAATCAAAAGGTTAATTTGACAAAGATAAAAATAGCAAAACCAGTTAAGTATTTCCAATGCCTCAAATGTCACTAGCAATCTTTTGTTTTGTTTTGTTTTGTTTTTAGATTTTTCGAGACAGAGTTTCTTTGTGTAGCTCTGTAGACCATGCTGCCATGCTGTCCTCGAACTCACAGAGATCCGCTGCCTCTGCCTCCCGAGTGCTGGGATTAAAGATGTGTGCCATCACTGCCCAGCTGTCACTAGTAATCTTAAATGAAGTCAGTGCCATCTACAGACTGTGCTTTAAGTATTTTACCTAAGAGCAGTTTGAACTCTTAACTCCAATTTTCTCCATTTTTGCTGGATTCCTAAGCATATTATTCATTTTACTTATTATTGTGACTGTATATGCTGTGTAATGTGTGAGGTAAGCATATGCATGCCATGGCATATTTGTGCATCGTAGAGGACAGTTTTTGTAGTGCATTCTGTCCTTCAACCATGGGTCCTGGGCTTTGAACACAGGCCAACTTGTGTGGAAAGTGCTTTTAATCAGTGAGTTATTTTTCTAGATCCTGAAGTATTTTTATAAGACATTTAGTTTTAATCAGACTGTCAATAATAACTATTATTGTTAATTTATATTTGCTTTTTTTTTTAAATAAAAGAAAATATCTGTAGTCCAGGTTAGCCTTGAACTCACTATGAGCTAAGGATAATCCTAAACTTCTGATCCTCTCCCTCTATTTCCCAAGTCCTGGGATTGCAGGCATGCACAACCACACCTGATTTATGCTACGCTGGGACTGAACCCAGGAGTTCATGCATGCAATGGATGGAGCCTACCAAAAACAAACAAACAAACAAAGAAAAAACTATATTCCCACTTCAACAACTACTAGCATGTGCATATAGAGGTTCATGCAGAAGCATGTGCTTATATGGATCCCAAAGGACAACCTATGGTTCGTTAGTTCTTCCTGAGGTACCATCCACCTTGCTTTTGTTTTATTTTATTTTATTTTATTTTATGTTTTGGTCAGGGTCTCTGTGTACCCCTGACTGCCCTAGAACTTGATGTATAGATCAGGTTGGCCTCAAACTCATAGATGGATCCTACCTCTGCCTCCCAAGTATTGGAATTAAAGCTGTGTGCCACCATGACCAGTCACTTTGTCTTTTGAGACACAGATTCTCACTAAAACCTGGGACTCAATAAGTAGGCCAAACAAGTGAGCTCCAGGAATCTGTCCACCTCATCTCCCCAGCAAGATTACAAGTGTGCACCACCATACCCAGCTACTTATGTGGGTGCTGGGGATTGAACTCAGGTCCTTATGTGCGTGATTAAGACCTCTATTGGCACTGCCGGGCATTGGTGGCTCACGCCTTCAATCCCAATACTCAGGTGTTTTGGACAGGCAAAGTAACTCAGCTTTACAGAGTTAAACAAATACAACATAAAAGAATGCAACACACCGGGCATTGGTGCCTCACACCTTTAATCTCAGAACTCAGGAGGCAGAGGCAGGGGATCTCTGTGAGTTCGAGGCCAGCCTGGTCTCCAGAGTGAGTGCCAGGACAGGCTCCAAAGCTACACAAAGAAACCTTGTCTCGAAAAAACCAAAAAAAAAAAAAAAAAAGACCTGTATTGGCTGAGTTATCTTCCCCAATAACTGCTGGGCTTTAATTTTAAAAAGTATGTATGTATGTATGTATGTATGTATGTATGTATGTATGTATGCATGTGAACCATGCACATGCAGGGCCCTAGGGGGCAAAAGAGGGTATCTGGTCCTCTAGAACTGAAGTTACAGAAGGTTGTGAGCCACCATATGGGTGCTGGGAATTGAACCCAGGTCTTCTTCGAGAGTAATCAGTGCTTTTAACCATTGAGCCACCTCTGTAGCCCCAATAACTACTATTCTTAACAAGAAAAATTATTTTAATTTGGAAAGTGAGTATACAATGATTATGCCATAGGAATTCTCAGATGATCAACAGTCAAAGGCAATATTATCTTAAATTATGTCCAGGAGAGAAACTGGTTACTAAATTGAGCAATGTATATCTAAAATAACGAAGTTACTAGACTGTATGGAATTAAAAGGTACACTTAAGATTTTTGTTCAGAATAAAGGACTATAAAGATGCCAGTCAACCCCCCCAAGTGCATCAAGTAGGGTGATGTATATAAAGTTAAGTTAAACAAATTACCAATAAATTACTATTTTTGTACACTTACATTTATGTATTTATGTTATTTGTGTGTGTGGAGGTCAGAGGACAACTTGCAGGAGTTGGTTGAATCTCCAGCATGTAGGTCCTGGGAATCGAACTCAGGTCATCAGGATGGGCAGCAACTTGCCTTTATCTGCTGAGCCATTTCACTGGCCCTATTTTCTTAAAGTCATAGAAATTGTAGGAATAAACTCTCTGAACTGAAAGAATGGGTTTCTCATTCTGAAACCACAAGGTAGGTATAGAAACTTGTCTATTTGATACCGGTAACTGACCAGAATAAACTGAAAGCTCCTGTAAGTTCCTTCCAGGTCAGGAACTCTATGTACAAGGCTTCTCCATATCTGCTCACCAACACCTGAAAACACTACAATGGGTCTTTATAGGAAGCTTCACAACCAACATGAGGTCATCTCATGAACAGACACAAATGGGAAAATATGGCTAATGAAAACCTAACGACAATCTAAAAACAAAACTACATTAGAAAAATGTTCAATTTCTACCTTAAGTCTTTCAGAATGCCACTCAGTCAATTTACCTGGAGTAATACAGTTAGAATCAAATCTGGCTTCTGTAGGAAGTGTTTCTCCCTTTTCTATTGCTTTTTTAATTTTATCTTCCGCCTCCTTGGCTGACCTTAAAAGTCAAAGAGAAAAAATATCTTACATTTTCTAGAAAATAAACATTTTTATACAAACTATTATTTACAAACTTTTATTTTACATAAAACACCAATTTGCCAATCTTAAGGTTCAAAACTACACCATTTGTTTTACTTCTTTATTAATTTATTTTTTACATTAAAACTATACAATTTTAATAGAAATGAATAAGCTTAGGAATTCTTTGCTTTTATTTACAGAATTGAGTTATTTTAAAATACAAAGACTATAGAAGCCAGACATTAAAATAGTAAAAAGCACACAAATCATTACAAACACGTAAGTAATTCTAACAAATATATAGCAAATTTATTTCAGAAACAAGGTCAAAGGCTTTAAGTGTCAACTGTTTGCTAGACTTTCTATCATTTAATGATTTTAATAGTGTTACTTATCAATGATATCAGTATATAAAAGTTAACCAAAAATGATTCCAGGCTTTAAAGATTACACTCTACAAGGGAGGGAATATTGAGTAGCCATGGTTTAATCTAGCTGCAACATAGAAATGACTATTAAAATAATCTAAGTAAAGATAATCATAGCCTACACCGAGATACTAAATTTTTAAAAAGATGACAAAAAAAAAGTAGGTCGTAGATGTGAGGAATGAAGACAGGGAAGGAGTAAAAATTACTCTTGGTCTTTGGGTGGGGCAGCTAATCACAGAGAATGGAAACGGGAAAGAGAAAAAAAGCTGCTTTGGGAGGATGGATTCAGTTCTGAACACAGTAAGCCTTCTGGTATCTAGGTTATCCAATAGAAAAGGAACTTGGGAGTGAGAAAAACAACAGAGATAAATTCAGGGGTCATTAGTAGAGGCATACTAATTAGGGTCATTAGATGCCACCATCACTGGGGGATGGGGAGGGCAGGGACAGAGACTCAAGGAAGTTAACTTTAATGCTAATTTAAGAAACAAAGAAGCAGAGAAAGGGAAGATGACAAAAGTCCAGCATGACACAAACAGAGCAAAGCTACATGAAGGTCAAGGAAAGAAATTCCAGAAAGAAAGAAGGATCAGCACTGTTACTTGATGTGGGTGGAGGAAGCAATGCAGACTTAGTCTTTAGATTAGGACATAAGCCTGTGATCTTGTAAGGATAATTTAATGGCACAGTATGGACAAGAACCAAAAGGCAGATTCAGAGCAAAGACATGATGCATTAAAGTATGAAGCTGCTGGGGGACTTTCTAGGAAATATGGGACTCTCAGTGTCAGTCTAGCATTTAATATATGGATTGGTCCTCAATCCCCAGCCAGTAGTCTCTGATATGAAAAGGTTATGAAGTTAAAGAGCTGGAAGCCTTTCCTGAAGTTAAGTTTCTTCAAATGAATTGATTTTTGTTAGTTAGATGCCTCCATAAAAGTTGATACCAACATGACAGTTGAGGTATTCGGGCTGTTGAGGGTAAGGCTTCAGCAACGATAGAGTGACAAGAGGAGAACCCAGTACTTAGTAACATTTCAGGTACCAAGAAGCAAGGAGTAGGGTATTTATTTTGTCTAATGTAGATCTGGTAGACAGAGTTAAGACACATTGATAACTTCTGATGGCTGAACTCTATGGAGACCAGGCTGGCCTTGCACTCAGGGGAGATCTCCCTGTCTGTGCTTACAAGTATTGGGATAAAGGCCTGCACCATCAGCATCTTAAGAAGAGTTTTTAGGCTAGTGGTTCCCTAAAACTAGTTTAATAAATACCATGTGTAGATACCTAGTATAAATAGTTTTCCAATACCTAGAGATTCCGATTAAGTCTTTAGGTAGTCCTTAGAAAACTAAATTTTTAGTTTAAAAAAAGCCATTGCATTTAAGGATCCTAGTTATTCAGTATGTTTTGGACTCTTTTTTTTTTTCTTTTAATAGTTTAATACTCTACCATCCTTTCTCTCCTTAGTCTCACTGGAAGGTTTTTCTAAGACACTGTCCAAACTTTCTTGACAACTTTGACATTTGATGCATGAATACTTCTGTCATTCTTTGTTCTGCCATTATGACTAAAGGAGCCTTTCATTATGCTAACACCTCATCAAACTCTGGACTTAGGACACCTCCAAACAGGCATGGCATCTGACTTACTGTTATTTAGATATACTTGACTCATGCAGGATTTTGATTTTAAGACTCTTTTTATCTCTAATCCCTTTACTTTACATAGTGGTGCTGAGAATGCCAAGTTCCATATCCCATCAATCATCTTCTAATCTCACTTGCCTTAGTGCCCAATTAGGGCTCATATTTACTCAAAATCAGCCTGTAGACCAAGGTCACTGTCATGAGAATAACTTCCTGGTACATTCTGTAGTGACTAAACCAAGGCGGATGACCACAGGTGCTCTGCTCCACTTCTACTACTTTCAGATTATCAAAGCAAAGTTTGAAAACTTGTAACTGAGAACAGAGTGACTACATATGAAACCCAACACAAGCTTTGAGACATAATTCATCAGAATTACTAGTTTATTACTTGACTAGTCAAATGTGATAATTAGTATGGAATAAACCAATTACTTTGAGGATTGAAATAGAAAACAAATATGAACAGAAGATGCATTGTATTATGTCAACTGTTTTAAATGATTTACCTAAAACGCCTCCCACGTTGCTGGTTCATTTTTGCTCGAGGAGCCACACCATCAACAGCCATAAAGAACACTTTCCTAGGTTTAATAATTCGAAACAACACCTCCAAGTAGTGAAAAATATCAGTAAAGATTTTGTCATCTGAAATTCTGAAGTGAACATCGTCATCATTAGGATGGGAACACTGATGTATAATTCCATTCATATCCAGATACAAATTATCAAATTCTGGAATCTAAAAAGAAAAGAAAAAAGCTCAGATTATTAATTATAATGACTATTTTAATGCCTGGCAAAAGTGATTCTTCAATGGTTCAAAACAAAAAAACAAAACAAAACAAAAATCAAACAGGATTTAATGTATTCTGATTATAAAAACTCAAGGGGGCCTCTTCCAGGGGGCCCAAGTTTGGATCCTGGCACATACAACCACAGCTATGCACAAGCAAAGCACCTGCATCTCCAGTCTTAGGGACTGAATGCCCTCTTCTGGCCTCCACAGGTACCACATGCATGTGCACACACATGCAAGTACACATACCATAAACATATACACATAATATATATATGTACATATATATATAACAAACCTTTAAAAAGTGAATAAACGATCACAGTTGAATAAAGTAAGCAAAGAAAAGTAAACAAGAACAACTAGGAATGCAGAAAGAAATCAAGTAGTTATATACTGAACGGCTTGACCTAACTTACTATGAGGAAACTATTTATTCAAAATAGGAAAACACCAAAGAAAAACACTTAATTAATATGGCACTCAAAATATTAGTTTCCTCCATGTTTGCTACTTGGCATCTCAAAGTCTCAATTGCTCCTATAAATGGGGAAATAGTGCGTATTTGCAGCAAAAGGTTTTACAAAAGAAGATTAGAGGTTTTTCAAGTTACTTAATAACTGTTCCATTTGGTTCACTCAAACAGAGCCACTTACTTGTTACATTCGTTTTTAAAAAGCCTAGATTATCTGAAAATGGAGGCAAAACAGCTGAGCTTATGTAGTGGAATGCCAGACTCTAGGCTGTCACTGTGGGGCTTGGTAGGAATAGGCGGGGCAAGTGCTATCTACTTTTATAGAAGGTCTTCATGATTCTGGCTTTCAGTTTTCTTTTCTTTTTCTTTTTTCTTTTTTCTTTCTTTCTTTCTTTCTTTTTTTTTTTTGTCTAAGCAAGCACAGTACTGACATAAATGTACAATGACAGAGAACAGAAATGGCTGTAACTATCCGGTGTAGTCAAAGAATTTTTTACTAGTCTCCTTTATACACTAAATAAATAAAATTAGCATGAATCTATGGGGGAGAAGGAATGGGGGTGAGGGGAGGGAGAGGGAGAGGGAAAGTACATGTGAAAATATTAATAATTTAATAAAAAATGCAAAAAAATTAGCATGAATCTAATTAGTAAACACATGCAGGTAACAATATATTTTCTCATAGAGAAATGGCATGCCTTGTGGAGTTTGAAGGTAACAAGTTTTAAATCATTAAACACTTCCAACATTTATCTAAAACTTGCCTACTTTACAGAATTAAATGACAAATAAAAACTCTTTAATATTGAGTAACAAATAGGATCACCTGAAATTAGTAGCTGAAATGAGATTTTTTTTTTTTTTTTTTTTTTTGGTTTTTCGAGACAAGGTTTCTCTGTATAGCGTTTGGAACCTATCCTGGCACTCGCTGTGGAGACCAGGCTGGCCTCGACCTCACAGAGACCCGAGGATCTCTGCCTCCTGAGTGCTGGGATTAAAGGCGTGCGCCACCAACGCCCGGCTGTAATGAGATTTTTAAAGAGCATTCGAGACTTAGTATTTGTTCCAAGAATCAGAAAACTCCAACTAAAGCCTCACTGTAAGTTCTTGAGAGTGAAATAATTTATACAACATGATTCAATTTCTTTAAGAGAATAAATGTGTTTCAACAGTAAGGAACATATTAAAGGCAGAGTAATGAAGGGGAATCAGCCCTCAGTGACTTCAAGTTATAGATTGAAGCAAACAGTTGGAACAGTGCAAGTGTATATGAAATTTTAGTATAGAAGAAACATTTCTAACTACTGAAAAGAGGGTACTGGGTGCTTACCCAACCATCAGAAAACAAGACAAGACTACAAAAGCTCCAAAGGCATACTGGTACATGTTTTGTTTTCTTAACTATTCAGAACAAGGAAGCAGGAGGGTTGCTTGAGCCCAATAGTTCAAGGTCAGCCTGAGCTGATCAAAGGCGGAAAAGTGTGTGTGTGTGTGTGTGTGTGTGTGTGTGTGTGTGTATTTTGATGATGTAGGGCAAGGAATGTCCCAATCATAAACAAATAACTACTAAAATGGTTATATAAAAATACATTGTTTCGGGGCTGGAGAGATGGCTCAGTGGTTTAGAGCACTGGCTGCTCTTTCAGAGGACTGGGGTTCAATTCCCAGCACCCACATGGCAGCTCACAACTGTTACTTCAGTTTCAGGGGATCTGACACCTTCACACCAATACACATAAAATAAAGTTAAATAAATTAAAAAAAAATACATTGTCTGTATGACCCTCCTTGCTGTATCTGGGCTGCAATAGTATCCCTCCATAGGGAATGGGCTCCCAAAGTCCATTTGTGCTCTAGGGATAAAGACTGGCTCTGCTGGCAGAGGAGCCATAGACTGTCTTGGACTCCTAGCTGGTACCCATATTCAGAAGGTTTAGTTTGGTCCAATGCTGTTTTCGCAGCTTTATGACTAGGGTCTCCATTCTATCAGCAGGTCAGGTTCACTGTTTCTGCAGGTCTCTCCATCCCCGTCTTGGCTCCTTTGCTCAACCTTCTTCCCTCTCCACAACTGAATTCCAGTAGTATGGTTCAGTGCTTGGCTGTGGGTGTCTGTTTC